ACTCCTTCAGGTGGCAAATCAGTAAGGGAGCCCTGAGCTTTCATTCTATTCTAAAGCATCCTATGATCTATAAATAAAAATTACAGATATAAACACATAAAGGAATATATGAAAATTCCCAGTTGTCGGTCTCCTTATCATGAGTAGCTGTTTATTAGGTGCATATGTCATGTCAGGGTTTGTGACATAGAATGGCCCCTTCTTTCAGGAACTGACTCACTGAATTCAGGACTAAGGACAAAGTAGCTCATCAATCAAATGCTCTCCCCAGAGGCTCAGCTAGCATTTGCATATAAAACAATTAAAAGATCATTTTCATGACAGCAGAATAATATATCCATCTCTGAGATGTTATGAAAATTCAACTCATAATTTATGCTAATGGATTCACCCTATCTGACATTGCTCTCTGTCCTCCTTATAGCTGGCACAGACCCCAAGCCCCAGGGGGTCCCCTATTAGGCTCTAAATTACTGTCTGAACCATAAGACTCCCTGAGTCTTGGAAAGCCACTACAGATGGTAAGAAAAACTAACAGCCAACAAAATACACCTCAAGGGACTAAACCCTTCCAAGAAATCAAAATTTTTCAAGCAAACACAGAACACATGCCTAACAGTGGGGCTCTCTTTTGATCAGCATAAAGGTGGAAAATATCCCATAGTTAAGAAGTACTTTTGCAATTCTTAAAAAACTTTGGTGTCAATTTATCACATGTAATCAGAGAAAGATGCTGTTGGTTTGTCTTAAATGTCACTTATACTAAATGTTGTCCTAGCTGAAAAAAACGGTTTGTCAATAATTCAGGGTCATTCGAAAGAACCAGATGGTTTGTCAGCCAGGCATCACTGACTTCCTACCTTCGTGACATTTCTTTAGGTGATTGGACTTGGGGTTTTTGTTTGTTTGTTCGTTTGGGGAGGTTTTTTTTAGCAAATATCCAGAAAATGCATAACGTTCACCTGAGGGGAAATCAAAAGTCACATGGATTCATTCATCAGCCACCTGAAATCATGGAGCTTCAGATAATCCCAAGGTCACACACAACAGTAGAGATGATGCAAAAACAAGTCATGTAACTCTAGGCACTCCCCAGGCTCTATCTCTTATATTGTTTTTGTTTCTTTCCTATCTTAATCAAAATGATAGGAGTGGATATTACATTGCACAATTGTCTTGAGCCATGCTGTATTTTCTGTTTCTTGTAAGAGCTCTATTTCTGCCAGCAGACTAAAACTCCCTGGATGCCAGGACTTGGTCTGCCTCGTATTGCTACAGACTGGAGGCATACCAGAAGCATGGTAATGCTCAAGAATTTTTTTAAATAATGAAGAAAAGGTTTGATTAAAAAACGAATGCATTCTCCTTGTCTTGAAGGGGACCAACCACTAGATGCTAAGCAGAGCTGAGTCTCTGATGCTACCAATATGTCCATGGACCTTTATCCTCCCCAGGTGAGACAGTTCTAGGTGAGGAACTCAATAAAACACAATGCTGGAGAGAAACAAACTTTCATCTCTCCAAAAAGCTCATAGAAGTGGACCAGATATCGTTTTTTACCTGGCACAGGGGCATTTCTTTTATTTTCTGAACTGATTCATTCCTTTCCAGGAAGAAAACAAAATATCCTGTGATTTGAGACCTGAATCTGGGAGCAGGGAGTTCTCTTACAGCATTCCTGAGTCATTGACTAGGAATCAAGCCTAGAGGCATTATTTTAGAGGGTCCCCCACCCCTAGCAAAGAGAAAGGAAAGGGAAAGAGAAAAAGCACTGGATTAGCACCCGAGCAGGAAAGGTATTTTCATCAGCTAAGGTCAAATAGCTTGACCTCAAAATCTATACTACATGATTTGGCTGAGAAAAAACGCACAACATCATCTGAGAAAATCTGGTCCTGAACTTGGGTGGCTCATCATTTTAAGCAATCAGGTTAGTAATAATAACTTCAATCAACAATAACAATAACTAAGGTATCTTGAGTACCTGTTATATGCAGGCAGTATTTTAGCCAAGTTTACTATATTAAACTCCATCGATTCTCATAATAACCCTGTGAAACAGACATCCTCATCAACCCCATTTTACAGATGAGGAAACCAGGGCACAGAGAAACTACATAATTTTTCTAAAGTCACTCTACTAAGAATTGACAGAGCAAGAATTCAAACCCAAGCAACTGGTCCAGCATCCACATTGACCCATTATTTGCCTGCAGCTATAATTCACTGCAAATGCTAGAAGGGAGAGCATTATAACACAAAGAAAACTGACAGCTGTTTAGAAGGCATTAAGTTCTGATTGTTTTACCTGTGTTATCTCACTTAGTCTTCATTCCAAATGTATTATGACCCTTCCTTATTCCATAGATGGGAAAACTGAGAACCAGAGAAGTTATGATGTGCCCAGGGTCACTGGCTGATCAATGGCATAGCCAGTTACCAAACACTGGAGGTCAGAGTCCAGTACCCAAATCATTATGCACTGCACCACACTCTCTTTCTTGCAAGCAATCTGCAGTATCCCAGTAATCTGTACGTGCTTGATGACATGGAGAGGAGCTTGGGCATGGCATGGTCTTTTTCCCACAGAGCAAGTGTGAGAGCAAGGCAGTATGGTGTATCAGAATGAGCACAGACTGCAGTCATCCAGAGCTGGGGTCAAACTCCTGCTTGGCATTTACTGTCTGTGCAGTCTTAAATAAGACTCTTTGTATCTATTTCCTCACGTCTAATCCTCAAGGTGACTCTAAGTGTTATGTGTGATGGCATGTGGAAATTCTGGTCTCGGAGGCTCTCAAATCATCTACCTCCCTGGATCCACTTACACATCTTTTGACTACAAAGAATTCAACAAGTGCACAGAAAGTCCATCCCTACTCAGGAGGACTGTCTACCCTCCTTGGGCCAAATCATAGCATCTTCTTAGCAAACACTATGGGCATAATTGCCCGTACATGGGCTCTCCAGTTCAGGACTGCATTTCTTCCACCACTAGCATTTGCCCTGGGAGCCAGCAGGAGCTGCAAACATACTATAGCCCTGTTACTGAGGTTTCCAGGCACCATGGTGCCGGAGAATCTGACAGGGCATGAAATCATTATTGGATCATTGCCAACTTGGAGTTGTAGGGTCCTAGGTTTCAGGTGGCAATAATGTAAAAGAAATTAATGTCTTGGAAATGCTTACATCAGTTGACAATGGTTTGGTTTGGGTTTGGATTTTTGTTTGCTCTTTAAAAAAACTGTTGTAGGGCTGGGGTTGTGACTTGCTTTACATATATGGGGACTGAGTTCGAGCCTCAGTACCACAAAAATAAATAAAGGTATTGTGTCTTACAACTAAAAATAAATAAATAAATAAAACTGTTGTAGGCATTCATCCTTAATAACCTGCAACATTAAAGGCAGCTATCAGAATCTATTTATCTATCATATCATTTTTAAAACTTTTCAAATTTTGCTAGTGTTTAAAATCCCTGGTTGATACCCTTGCTTCTCAAGTCATTGCTTCTGTGTACATGTATTCAATCTCTTTTGGCTCCCTGAAGGTCACGTCTGACACAGTTCTAATTATTTTAAATTGCCTTTTTGTTAAACATGAATGTAAAAAATAATTTTAAAGCCTCCAGGATAATTCTTTATGAGAACTTTTACTTATTTTATGCCCAATCTTATTTATAGTGGCTCTAAATTAGTGACTGGCATACTACAACCCACAGACTAAATCTGGCCCACTGCCTGTATTTGTAAATAAAGTTTTATTGGAACACAGTCACATCGACTTGTTTACATTTTGCCTATTGATGTTTTTGTGCTATAGTGGCAGAGCTGAGTAGTTGTGACAGAGGCCATCTGGGCCTGCAAAATCTAAAATATTTACTATTCAGGTCTTTGAAGCAATGTTTGCCAACTCTTTCTCTAAAGCAAGGAGTAAGGTTCAGAATCACACAAGGTATTTTATAGCACTTATCCTTACAGTAATTAAATAATTCTCTGTTTGTGAGTGCCTGCTTGTCCTGTTATAAGTAAGTTCCTTTGAGAGACAATGGCTATTTTCTTCCCAGGGCCTAAGCACAGAAACTAGCACAATGTAGATGAAAAACTAATATCTATTAGTTGAGTGAATGAGTTACATTGTTAGATAGGTTTGAGCTCTTGAGGGTTATAAATATTCTTGGTTCTGAAAGAAAACCCAAGCCATAGAAACTTCTCAATATCAGCATATTTTCTGAAATCTAAATCTCATGGACTCTAAATGTAGAGCGTAGATATGTTTTTTCAGGACATTTGGTGATCAAGACAAACCCTTGTCATTATTATGATAAATCTCTTCTATACCACACCATTTGTGCCCACCCTGTCTTTAACCTCACAAAATTTTCTCTGAAGTTTGGCACTGCTGGTGCTAGCCTCATAATTAACTTGCAAAGCTGGTCCTCCATCTTTGGAATCCATCTGTGCTTCACAGCACGATGCCCAGCAGCCTTCAGGGGCTCTGCTGGTGTGCTCAGGCCCGTCACTCATCCCCAAGGCACATGGGCATTCAGCCACTAATACTCAGATACAAGAGAAACCAGGAGCAGATGCTTCTGGATTCTGGAAAGACACAGAAAGAAGGACTGAATGGAAGAGATTTCTGTCCTTCCACTTCCAAAATGTATTGTAATTTGGACATGAAATATGGTTAATATGAAGAGATAAATCTGACTCTCAGGGAGGCAACAAGACTTGAAAAACAAATTAAGAGCTCAGAAGTCTAACAGACCTGGATAGGAAACCAAGCCCTGGTACTTACTTGTTGTGTAAAGTTGAGCCAATGAATTGATTTCTCTGAGATAAAAATATTTTAATTGCAAAATGAGTATAAAATGACAACTTTGCAGGGACACTCTGGTATATTTTAAGGTGTCTACCTGTGACAGGCATTACATGTATTTTACTTTTTGCCTCTTCACATTTTTGAATGCACAAGAAGAATGATCTTTAGAAATTTCTACTTACCAAGCATTCCTTTCTTGGAACTGGATAGACACATGTCCTTCTCTGCACTGGGCAGGGCAAAACTGACCACAAACACCTCCACTCCATCAGCCATCAGGGCCAAACCCAAGACGAAAAAGAGGGTCCACTGGAAGCGCCCATGACCACACTCATCAATGATGGTCTCATACTGGTGGGCCAGCTGCTCCTCATCTTCCATTCTCTCAGCCATAAGATCTGCCTGGCCCCGAAGGCCATCTTCCCTGGAGGGCGCCATCTTGTTCTGCTTGGCCTTGATATCATCTGGATGGGGGATGCCCTGGTACTCGCCCTCATAGATCTCATCCTCCTCATCATGGCCCTCTGTAACATCACTCTGCGCATCTTCATCCGGGTTGGATTCATTGCCCCGGTAATAGCCATCACTGGGGGCATATCCCTCATAATTGTCCTGATACTTGTAGTTATCCATCTCTTCACTCTGGGGCTGACTAGTTATCTCTCAGCTATATTTCTTGGTCTGTGGTAGAGGTTTGGGCTGTTCCAAAAACCATCATCCGTGTGTAGGATTTAAATGTAGAATATGTTCATGTGTCTTCTTGAGTGAAAGTCACACCTATTTTCTTCCTCTTTGCTTCTCAAGACAACCAGATTTGTGCAAAGATTACCTAAGTGTTATTTTGTGTTCAGTGTCTGTTTGGAGGTCTTCAGAAAGTTGCAAGCTCTGGCCTGGTCTCCTTCAGTGACCCAGAGACAGGGGCTGGGAAGTGCTGATTAAAAATGGACCCAGCTGCTCTTCTTGACAAGGAGCAAGTAGATTTAGCAGCTTGCTTGCTAGACTGATTTGTTCTGCCACTGAAGGTTATGCCCTGAGAATAGAGAAAGAGAAGAATGTTATAGAAGGCTGAAGTTCTGACAAAATGCTCTCAGGATTAAACCAATATATTTAGTCATGCCAATGCTTCATGGGTAAGGTAGAGGAAATCTTGATTAAACATTTGAATTTGTATCAACTGAATGATGAGTGACTCAGTGAGACTGAGGAGGAGGGAGAAGAAACCAGGTCAGAGGCCCTTTGAAGCTCTGATTCACCCACGAAAGGGGTCAAATCTTATGCACGAATGAATCATGAAGTGGTCAAGGAATTTTTGGTACAAGATAATTTTGTGCCCCAGATTTCCTCTTTGAATGTAACAGGGCTTTATTAACAGAAGAAGTTTATTGCAGTTCAGTGTCTGTTATGAAAATGCCAGCTTTCCTAACTTTGTGAAGTGGCTGTATGAGGAAGGAAGGGAAGGAAGAAGGGGGGGAAGGAGGGAGAAAGAGAGGAGGGAGGGAGAGAGGAAGAAAGGAAGGAAGGAAAGAAAAGGAAAAGGGAGGAGAGGGAAGGAAGACAAGAAAGAAATCTAAATAGATAAATCCAGGACAGTTTTCCTGAGGCTCAACACTGTGGTTCAAAGACCACTCTGACCTAGTATTGGCTTCAATGGGAAAGAACAGGAAGGAGTGGTGAAGACCCAGAGCCTCACTGCTTGGGTCTGAAACTGGTTGGGTGACCATTCATTCATCTTCCCAAGCCTCAATTTTCTCATCTGTAAAATGAGAATAACAATGGTACTTAACTCATAAGATTATACCCAAAGTGTCTAATCTGAATTAAGCCCTGATATTATTATTGTTGTTGTTTGCTAGTTCCAATTCTGGAAGCCAGGGGCCTGGTTTATATCACAGTTTCAATCCCTAGTTCCCACTGATGAGTTCTATACCCAACACACTGACATCCTGCCCTAAATTACCTTCCTAGAATCTCAAGTCTCACAAGGTTTGGAGTCACCATTTAATGATACCTACCCTGTAGCAGGAAATGTGCTAAATGTGTCACATCCTTTATCTGAAATTCTCAGAACATGGAAGGAAAGAAGGAAGGAAGGAAGGAAGGAAGGAAGGAAGGAAGGAAGGAAGGAAGGAAG